CATCACATCTGGGTATAAACACTGAAGGGTAAAATAATTACTGAGGTTGTCAGAAAGCTAAAGTTGACTTAATTTGGGGTTTTAATCTCTGAAATTATTTAGTCTATGAAATAAAAGACTGATTTATTGCTGGATTTTACTACCTCTGAAAACAAACCTGAAAAATAAAAGGCCATGTAGAATTTGGATCATTATGAGAAATTTTTCCATTTTCTTCCTTCCAAATAACCTTCAGTTGCTCATTTTCCTGAGGTTGTCAATAGATGTTTTCTGTGTCATTACTTAGTCCTGGTGTAGTTTCCTTCAGAGTGTTTGTTATTGTCTTTGCATGATTCTCCAGTAGCCATAGGTATGCCTGCTTCCATGGCAGCACGTAAATGGAAACTCTGCCCATGCTTCAAGCTGGCCACAAGTGAACTTGTGGGTTGAAAGCCATAATGAGCTGTTAATGCCATACTGTGTCAGAGCCAAACGGCCCAGTGGAGACAGAGTAGCATAGTTTCTGAATTGGATTTACTTCCCTCCACCCTGTGTAGTGAGTGGTGTGCAGTCCTTGAGTCTGTGGGTGCATGGGCCCACATAGGTGTGCTCTATGCAGGAAGCACAGAGTCCAGACTCACACTGAAGTGCAGTCACTTTTGTTCTTCCCATTGCAAGGCCATTATTCTGGATCTGCTGTTATTTCCTAAGCTTTGTCACAGCCAGAAAGCTGTCAGTGTGGAGAACAGGAGTCAAGTTTAGTACAGCAGCCCACCACGGCCTTTCCATGCCAGGGATGTGATGCTCATGCAAGCCACAATAGTAGAGGGCCAGGCACAATTGTGCCAGAAAATGTTAGATCCATCGCAACTGGAAAAGAGTGAGACCAGCCCTGAAATTACTTTTTATCACTCTGGGGGTCAGGGACTCCAGTGGCCTGCCCAGCCTTCTCCCAGCAAGGCACCTCTGTACCAGCAAGGACTGAATCTATAGGTTGGTCTTGAGAGGGAAACACGGTCAGATGAGAAAAGCTTGTAAAGTAGGGGTACATAGCTGTGTTATGCAAACAGACACAGATCCTGAACAGGGTCAGCTAGCAAGTTTAGGAAGTTGTGGTTATTATACACAACAAACTGAAGCAGAAGAAACTACTTTAGTCCAATGCTCTTGTTTAATTTTTATATGAGCCAAGGTAGCAGCAGTTATATCTGTGGTCAAGTAATGATTTTTTTTTATTAAAATGGTGTCATGGCTCCTCACAATGCTAAGTATCTGATGGAAGCAAAGGCTGAAATAAATCAAAGTGATGATAAAGACAAGGTCTTTTAGCAAGTCTAATCCTGTCTCTCTTGCAATAATATATGAACACTGTCTGTAGATCCCAATGTGATAGGGAGCCCTACAGAATATAAAATTTTCTATTTAAGTATCCTTTGGACAGTTTTGCACATCTTTTAAACTATAAAGCACAAAACCATCTTTTTAAAATTGAACTCTTTGTTAAATCAGAAGGAAGCTGCTACAGATCAAATGAAGCAAGTGGAGAAACAGCAGTGTAGTGTTCACATTGCTTTGGGCTTTCTGACCCCAAGCAAGCAAAGGTATCTAACAAAAGCCCTTTATAACTGTGTCAGATGCCATATTTTAAATATGGCAGTGAAAGTGCATGGGTGTGCTGAAAACGCCAGAGTATGAAAGGATGTCCTGCAGCAGATAGAAGATGTAAGGGTTGAAAGTCTGCATGTACAGACACTGTAAAAGGTCTGCTTGGAAACTGGAAAGACCAATCACTGGCACAGGCTACCAGTCCATGCCAGGTAAGTCTGGCATTATTGCTGGACATCACAGGGCAGGAGATTGATAATGGTAAGGGAACAGAGAGGTAAAATCAGTGTTTCAAAAATGTTTGAAGATATATTAAAAATTAATCCACTCCCCCACACTCACCTTGGTCACTGACACTGGCATGTCATAATGCTGACGAATGTCAGGCTTGGGGAGACAGCCAGCCTCATTACCACAACAACAACATCAAGGAAACCTTCACCAGTGCTACAGACTGAAGTGATGAGATGTCCTGAAAACAGTGGAATGAATAAATTTCTGATATTCTTCCAAATTATCCTATGATGATAATTGCTTCCACAGACAATCTGAA